GGGACGCGCCCCGGCGCTCTGGCAGGTGCCCGGTTTTTGTCCCCAGCCCGTGTGTCCGTGCGTGCGTCCTCTCCCCCGCCAGCCGCCGGGCGGGGCGTGCTGGCGGCCCGAGCCCAGACAGCAAACAAACCCCGCGGGGAGACCTGGAAAAATCCCAGACCTCTCTCGCTCTGCACAGCTGTATTACTAATTAGTGCGTTTAGCCAGCCTGGCCTCCGCGTAACGAGTGTGTTCGGATGGGCTCTCCTCCCCGCTCCGGCCGTACCTGCTCGCGCTGAGCTCGCGCCCCCCAGTTCCCTGCTCTTTGTGCAAGCCTCTGTGTGTAAAAACTGCTAGAGGGATCCAGTTTCTTTTCCACCGAGCGCTCCACGCCGTAAGACCTAGGGCAGCGGCGAGCTGGGCTCCGGGATGCTAATAAATGGAGTTTATTACCTCTGCCTGACAGGGGCTGGATTTCAGCTGGAAAAGGGGCCCAGGCTGGAACCGTCTGCCTTGGGGCTCGCTTCCAGCTGCGGAGTCTGTGGCAAGGTTTCTCCTCTCTCGTTTCAGCCTGGGCTAGTGCTGCGTTAGCCAGCCCTCGACTGGTGGAAAAAAGGGGTCCTCATTCCTGTGGTTTTGTCCTCAGGCTCCCGTCTCCGGAGCTCCATTTCCAGGAGTCTGGCAGGGGCGGTAGAGGCTCATCTGCTGCTTCTCGCTTAAGCAGAGACTTCTGGCTTTCCTGGTTGCAAAGAAAAATCTGACAGCCTTTTAAAGCCTCCAAAAAAGCAGAAGGTAAACTGAAAAATAAACAAACCTGTAATTTATTATTTTTGACAATCTCATCGTTTCGAAGGGCCTGACTCATGCTTTCTGAATGTTTGGGATAGGCAGCAGAGGGAAAAAGGAGGTTTGCTCAGCGCAGGCAGCGCAGCCAAGCAGCAGCGCAGCGCGTCTGTGTAGCAACGGCGGGGCTGGTCCTGCTTACAGCCCGTCTCGGTGCTCGCAGGGGGCACTCGGCTGCCTCTGCGCCCCGGAG